TATTCTTCACTATCCTCCTTGAAATGTGATCTCATATGATTATTATACACCACCTCTGCTTTAACCATCTGCTTCAAGACCTTGAAAACATTTGCCCTCTCCACGCAACACTGAGATTATACTGCTTGATTATAAAACTCTGAACCATGCGTAAAAGTCAAAATCCTTCCACTCCTGCGAAGCGTGAGGAGCTACTCCGCATCCGTTTCGGAAACACAGATCAAAAACGACCCGCTCTCAAGAAGTTTTTTGACTGCGACGGCAGGCTGGTGGAGGGGCGAGGGTTAAATGTTGAAGTCTCGATTCATGAGAAAGATTGGTCTGTGGCCAGTCACTTTGTGTGCTTTCTTTATGAAAAGTAAATCATCCAGAGCTCCCCGGGTTTCGCTTATTTGAATTGTCTGAATGAGCGACAATTGCTGGCTGGTTTGGAGAGCCGTGAGTGACGACAAAGTCTTTCCCCCACTCCTCAGACATTAAATGTGTGCGTCAGGTCTCGTCCAGCACTTCATCACCAATCCCTCTCTCTCTCGTCTGATTTGTGAAATGACGGTCTCTTCCCTGCTGGCGGGCCGAGAGGGTTTGGTGAATGGCTGTCATTGTGCTGGCTGGGGGGGGGGGGGGGGCGTCTGTGCCCTCTGGCTGATGAGGCCGCAAGACAGTGGGCACACTTTGGCTGCTCTTCAAAGAGCTCACTCGTTAATAAACTCTCATCCCTCCTCCTTTTATCACAAGGACACTTTATCACACTGTTCTTTTCTTTTCTTGAGTTAACAAATACCTTTTTATCTCGCTCTGCTGTCTAGCAAGGGCATATCTCACAGCTCTGCTATTTTAAACAGTCCATCACTCTTCAGCGCAGTGCTGTTTATTAATAGCTTTGCTATTTCAGTCAAATTGCCTAATTTTCTAAATGCCAGGATCACAATTACTTTTTCTGTTTATACAAATGGCTTTCTGCGGATTGTTTGGCAGTTGTTTTGTGTCTTTTACTCGATTCTTTACATTGGCCCTACTTTTTTGTACTTGTTGAGGACATTTACTTGATGCACAAAATAATGTTCATTGTTTGTCTTTTACTTTTTCCTGAGAATAAATTCAGTTTGGTGCTTTAGGCCCAAAACATACTCTACACAGGTACATGAACGCAAACGCTTCTAGCAACACAAGCTTGATTTCTACTGCCATGGTAAAAATGAATCTTTTTAAAAAAGTTGGTAAAAATGAGTTAGTGTCTGTCTACCTGAATAATAACACATCTCATTGTGATATCTTCACAAACATGGTCAATATGGTGGAGATGGACTCCACCTGAAGAACAAAAGGATATTCGGAGGAATTTGTTGAGCCCTGAGGAGTAAATTAGAAGGTGTTCCTGTCTCTTTGCATTTTTCTCAGCTTTCTCCACTCTGGCTGAGAGACCCATTGTGTTGCTGTTGCCTAGGATATGCCTCTCTTGTTTGGTAAATGATAGCATGTCCAGGCAAGCAAAATTATCACTTAGTCGGAGGCGTTTCCCTATATGGCCTGCTCGTTTCCGACCAAGGGTCAATGTAGGCCTCTAATAGATAACTCTTCACCCTTGTGGAATCTTCACGTCTTCTCTTGTTTTCTTGCCAAAATGTGCATTTGTTCATTCCAACACAATGGAAGCTATTAAAGGAACACAATTTATCCTTTCTGTACAATTAAAGTGTATTAGAGCAGTAGGCCAACTATTAATTTTTAGTCATGTTGCTGAAGCCTACCCATGACTAGTCAGAACGATTTGGTAAAGTTAATTGACTAGTCGTGCAAGTTACCAGAGCTTCAAAAAGGACAAAAACTCACCATAAAAAACACAATAGTGGTCAGAGTACCATAATATTCCAGATCTTGTAAAGCCATCCGAGAGTTTTGTGTGAGAGACACCCTCCACCCTAGCCAGGTTTGAAGTCGGTGAACTGCTAAGCACCCGAACCAGCTGAGATGACCTGACCTGTACTCTAACTCTCTTGTCACCTTATTGGTCCTTCTATGAACTAACAAACCATGTGTAGGAAATGAGAATGTCAGTTTTAACCAAGACCGAGGGCTTTGTAATCATCCGGCTACCAAGATCTCCAGCAGTGGATCGCTGTTGAGTGGCTCCACTGAAGGTGATGCACTCTTGTCAGGATTGGGGACCTAAAGAGGAGAACAAACGAATGCCAGTGTGTCCATGAGGTTTCCCTTTACCTGAGCTCCCAAACACTAGAAGAGGTCCTCTACAAGGTCAGCCTTTAAAACGTCCACAGTGCCATACGTTTGCCCCTTGAGAACCTAGAAACTAGGAACCGGGCGTTTGGGGACCCGAGGTTCAACAGGAGTAACAGAAGAGAGCTGCCGGAGAGAACGTGTGTCAGCTGAGAGGAGCAGATGGATGGAACAAAGGCAGTCATTGTTACGGGCTTGAATGGCTCACGTGTTTTTGGGCTGGAGGCCCAGGCTCTGCAGCTTACCTGTGCTTTGTAGCCATGTAAGAACCTGGCATCAAAACTTAGCTGTCAATTCCTATGAAAATATTATTATACCCTAATAGAAGATGCTGTCTTGGGAGCTGCCAGAAGGTTTGGTTCTCTAGAAGGCAGCTGTGGGTGGGGGCAGTGTTTGCACATGGAAGGAACTTCCTCTCATCGAGTCGAGCTTGGCAGTTTATCAATGAGGACCTCACACCTTGGAAGTGTGTGTCTGCCTGGGCCTGTCCTTATCAGCTGTCCTGTGACATCTGCCTCTATTGTCTGAACAAGAGCATTGGCTATAAGATCCGGTTTTGGGGGGTTAGATTACCTCAGGTGTAAGACCAGTTCAAACAAATTTGATTATCACTTGCTCGGTTGGACTGCAGTTTCTTTTTCTTTGTAAGCTACCATGGAGCAGGAGACAGCAGGATGTCATCTTGTTCTAGTTGCTCCATTTTGGGTTCAAACCTTCAATCCTCATGAAGCAACTAGAGGTAAAGTGCCTTGCTCAATGGCACAATTTAGTTTAGCCAAGATTGCCCCTGTGTGGTATGCAATCTTTTATTTTATATGTCAGTTGGCTCATGTGATTTATGTTTCGTGCTTCAGAACTTCCGTTAAGGGAACATAGTGAGCATCGAGGCTCCTTGGTTTTCACGGTGCATTGTGGGACTTTTTACGGAGTGAGCGTAGGATTTTGCGATCGAGACAGTCCTTAAAATAGCAGACTCCCTGACTACTGAACTAGGGAGCTGATTGAGACGCACCCATTGTCAAGCCTACTCCTCGTGGTGGTTGAACTTGGTATTCTTAAGAGTAAAACTTTACTTAACTACTATTAACTTGTTATTTTCTGACTTAAGAAGAACGTTCAGAATATTTTGTCATCTTAACCTCTTAAAGTTAGAATAACCTCCAACTTTCAATAAATTCATTAAGCATATTACGTTTCTAACATTAAGCATTACAACAAAACATTAGCTACATATGATACATATTACTAGATATGTGCACTCTGAAGTGACAACATGATCGGTAACTTAAACAATGATTGGTCATGACTATGCTGAATTCTAGATTCAGTAACAACTCTACAAAGAAGAGTCAAGAGTCAAACCTCGCTTGGTTTCAACCTCAAATTTCGGCAGAATTCATTTGCGATTTAAATAGTTCTTAAGAAATTTAAATAGTATCTTAGGAAGTTTCCTAACTTTCTTAAGAAGATTTTCATGAATGCGGCCCCAGAGTCAGCATGATCATTTACCATTTAGCCGCATGGCTTGCAGGACATCAGTGTAATTTGTTATTAATTGGATGATCATCAACAGCAGTTTACGTCCACCAATTGAGCCAAATTGCTTTCATACTAATTTTGACCAGCTCTGGAGTCGACATGAATTGATACTCCCCATTTTTCAAGCAGACTTGTGTGCGGTACTTTGATGCCGCAGGGTTTCTGTTGCCAGTTTGAGAGCACAGATTATGTCCACAGCCATGCTAAAGATCATAATGAGAGCTCACTGTTGGAGTTCTCTAGGGTTGAGGTGTATCGGTTCAGCCACAACATCCCTTCTTGAGGTGCCAGAACCCTGGACTGTCTGGAGACCGCACTGAACTCTTGATCTAACAAGGCGCCACACGATTTATTAGAGATTTTTATACTTCTAATGCACATATTTGTTTCTGACACATGTTGGAACACTATGCCTAAGATAATTGTTGGTTTTATTCCCGTTTTATGTGAACACACACAATCCCCTTGTTAATTGTGGAATGAGAAGCTTAATCAGTTGGAAAGCCCGGAGCTAAGGAGATGTTTGTATCCTGTGTTCTGTTCTGGGGATTGTATTATCATATCAACCATTTCAAATAAATACATATTAATAAAGAATAGAGTCCAGCACCCTGCAGACATTACATTTTTTCTAGTTTTTTTCTTTCTTGACTATAGTTACAATCCTGAAATTCGCACTTGCAAAATTTTATAGATACGGCAATTCATTTTGAATTTATGACAGGATGTCAACAAAAAACTTAAAGAAAGGCTTGTGGAAGTTTTTGCACACATTTGCACCAAACAAGAAAGCAGTTCATGAGCTTGTTGCTCTTTCACTAGTTGTGCACACCGGACGAATAGTTGCTCGTTTTTTAAAAGTATATCACTTTGAAATATTTTGTGTCTTTGATGTGTTGGCTACTTTCTTGGGCTTTTTGTCGTAGACTTAAACCATTTTTTTTTTTTTTCAATTTGTTCTTGAGGAAATTTGGTCTTTTGAGTATATTAAAGATTTGGTAAGTTTCCATGTCACGTCAACTTGTTAAAACGTTTTATTTATTATTTGAATGATTTATCTCAGATAGCAGGACAATATCTTCAATTGCTATGCATGAAAAAACGTGCTACATGTTTTTCCTTCCGTAACATGTTTTTCCCTTCTGCATTTTGCAAGACTTATTGGGAAATTGTTCCTTCCAAGACTGGAAATTAATTCCAGCTTTCGGTTGAATGTCTTTCCACAGTGATGAATTGCGAAAAGAAGCTCGCCAGCTGAAGAAAGAATTACTCGCAATCAAACAGCGAAAAGAAGATGGTGTGAAGAAAGAAGAGGCTGTCACTGAGGGTGAGTGTCTGTGCCACGAAATCACAGCTGTTTGTCTTTTTATTGACAGAATTTGAAAAGGCTCTGTAAAAATATTCTTTTTGTACTGTTTTAACAGTGAAAGCGTAATTTATTTCTCGCACATGGTGTAATGAAAGCATTTCAACCTCTCCCAAAATCAAGTCAGCATGTACTGAATTGTTCAATTTTGGAGGTTTGTTTTTGTACATCAGCCCTTGCTTTTTTATACATATGAAAAAAAATCTGAAGCTGCTGTGTTTATGTGTGTTTTGAAAGCCTGAATGTTGGCTGTGAAGTGAGCGTGTGGATAACATTAAACATTTGGCATTTCTAGCTGTTATTTAGTCTTTTTTTTTTGGACGTGCCTAGTTGATTGCTTACCTTTTGTGAGCATTTTAAAGAGAGCAATGAAACTTTTTTTCAGTCATCATTCGGTAATCATTTACTCAACCCCATATCATTCCAAATCAGTGTAATGTTTGGATTACAAAAGAAGAATTTTTGCAGAATGTTCTAAAAATGGGCCAATTTACATCATTCCCCATGGTGTTGATTGGACTGCTGTTTACTTGGGTTTCCCATTGCTATTTGATCAGTAAAAACACACAAAATGACCAAGTTTAAATATATCCAATGAAAACAGCTTTGCCCAGGGGGTGCCAAGCTCTAAAAACGGTAAAAGCCCTAGTGAAATGGTCCATATGACTTGTGCACTATATTTGTATTTTTCTTTTGAAGCCATACAATACCTTTACAAAATTCAAGTCATCCCCTAAAAAATGTCTAATTTTATTTTCTTCTTTCCTTTTTTAAGCATGAACATAAATAACCATGCCATATTTCAGCCCAAAATTCAGCCCAAAAAAGTTATATTTAGCTTAAAGAAAATTTGAATAAATAAATTAAATGGAGGTATTTATATATCATGCTAGTATTTAAAGATTTTTTGTTCAATTTATAGTGCTTAAAATTATTCAAAGATGTTTGGATTACTTTTATTACTGTTGTACAGTAAAACAGTTGTGTTGTAGTAATCAGTGACTAGAGAATGTCAGTTACATTCTTTGTACTAATGAAAATGTGCTGGAAGGAATGCTTAATATAAAAAATTATCTAATAATACAAATAAATGAAGTATAAATAATCACAATGCGGGGCGGGGGTTCACTTTGAAGTGAAATGTGACCTAAACACATTTTTGTGTGATTCACTCATTTACTGGTGTGATTTTTAGCAAACGAAACAGAACTCTCAAACTCATGTGAAGAAACAGTGCGAGTCATCACAGCATTTCTGGGTCAGGTTATTACAATACATTTGAATTAAGTCTAGTTTCTAATATTCTCCCGTGTGCAAAGGTTTCTGTGGTTTGGCAACATTCCTTTCTAATATTTATCATAACCATAAAAACGTGCCGCTCAGCTGATTTATGCAAATACATTTTTTTGTCCTTTTTCCAGTGTTGGGGAAAGCTACTTTTAAAAGTAATTAATTACAATATTGCGCTAATTCCTAAAAAAAGTAACTAATTGTGTTACCTAGTTACTTTGTATGGAATTTTTACTTTTTCTCATCTGGGCTAGGCTTGCTTGTTTTTAATAACAAAAAATAAAATAAAAGGCTGAAGGAAATGCAAATTCACGTCTGTTTAGCTCAAACAAACCTTTCAGCTGTGCTGCTATTCTGGATTGCAGAAGAACGCAGAACAGGAAAGTTCAACACTCTTACATCAGCAATAAAAACAGAAATGAAACTCAAATATGATGTTTATTTAACGTCATTTTTGGTTATTTGTATGGTTGAATTGGATCGTCAAAGATCAGCAGCAAAGACATTGTTAAATAAAGTGAGATTAAATACAGAAAGCGTATTTGAGAGTTATATCACTTGCACAAAAACAGATTCTGTGTTCCAAATGAATGAGTAAATGCTCACATTTAGCCTATCTACAATAATCATGTTCGCACACAACACCTCTGCGCTTACTCACGCTTTCTCTCAACATGGGGACAGGAGAGCTGTCGGTCAAAACATGGCAAAAAAAGTAACTTGCTTTACTTATTTGAAAAAATAGCTGATATTTAACTATTTTAAAAGTAATTGTAAATTTAAAAGTAATGCGTTACTTTACTAGTTACTTGAAAAGTAATTTGATTATGTAACTCACATTACTTGTAATGCGTTACCCCAACACTGCTGTTTTCACTCAATCTCCTTAATTTCCTCAAACTTGATATGTTGTGGTCAAATCAGATAAGAGGAAGAAGTTATTCGAATATTCTTCTCAGTACCAAAGAAGATGTTATCCTCACAAGATTTAAGATAGAGGTGTATCTATTCATAAGACTGTTTAAGTTTTCTCTTCGAGGGTCCATTCAATCGAACATCCATTGGTAAAGAGACTTAAGAACATTTCATTTCATTTCAAGTGCACACGGAGCTCACACAGACAAGGTCGGAGCCTTTTCTGTTTGTCAGATCCAGAAAGCGCTCTTGGGTTTTCGCCCTACTTCCTGTGAGGATTACTGCATGCTTGAGATTTGCGCAGGCAAACCTTTGACCTCTTCAGAGCTTTGCAATGGCCCTGTTGTATATCACTGTCTTCACGTTGTGTGTTCTCAGGGGGCAAAGGTGTGTCCCCTCACCCTTGTCGTTGTCAGTGTCTTTTAACGTTTGGCCTGGAATGTGCTATGTACGCTTAGCAGCCCGTTCATGTTTAAGGCCTACTTGCTTTAGCAAGCAGGACAGTATTTATTATAAAATGAGTTACAAAGAGCTGTCTTGGAGAGTTTGTGTGATGGGATGTTCCAGTGAATTAGGAATGAATTGCAATCGTGGTTTTAGTTTCGCTAGTAAAACTAAATACACCCTGATAATCATTAGTTTGAACTTAGTTTTAAAACTTGTCATGTGTAAAAAATCGAGTTTGTTCAATAGCACACGCAAATGTACAATAGCAGAACTTAAACATTCTCTCATTGGCTCTTCATTTGGCGCTATGACAGTTTCTTGACAAAACGCTTAAACAGTAACTTGTGCCAGTATGGTGTTGACATTATCCACATTTTTGTGGGTAATGTGGAGTGACCAGCCTTTGCGTTTGCAGTAGAATTGAAAAGAAATAAATGAAAAAGTAAGTGTTACAAATCGTAATGCTGACAGAGGTATAATATATTTTTAAGACTGTCAGCTTTGTTTCGAAGGGCTTTCGTAATGACTGTGAAAGACAAATTTGACCAAACTGTTGAAGACACGTGAAATTCCCAAGTCACTTTGAAAAATATGCAGATATTTTTGTATTGATTTTATTATTTACGAAAAGAAAATTAGTGTGAGAAATGCATGTCTGCCCACAGCGCTCCATTTGTCAGTCTGTCAGAGGCATGTTTGGGGGCTGTTCACACAGGACACGTTTTTGGGCTCTTTATATTCTATTGTTTTTAACTGTTTGTCTGTGTAAATAGACTATGCATCAGACAGACACATAACAGCCATGCTTTTAAAAAGCGGTGTCAAAGTTAAAAACCATTAAAAACTTTTAAAATAGTACTTTGTTCTTGAATTGCTCTGTTGGGAAGAAAATTCCTTTTAAATCCTTAATAATATTAATATAATAATAGTAATTCCTTAATTTTTTATTTTTCTTTCACTACTGCTACACTGTGTAAAAAGTGATCAGTTGACTTAACTAAAAAAAGTGAGGAAACCTGTTGCCATAAAATTAAGTAAATAAACTTCATGTAATTGAAAAAATTAAGTTATGTGAACTTGACAATTCCACAGTCCACTTTTCCATCCCAAGTTTATTTACTTAATAATTTTATTGCAACGGGTTTCCTCACTTTTTTTTTTAAAGTTAAGTCAACTGATAACCTTTTACAGTGTACTACTACTACTTCTAACTAATAAAATATAACTTAATATAATAAACATCTTGGAATAATATAATATAATTAAATGTATGCTGAATTGTAGTTCTTATTAGAAACAAATGTTGAAATCAATAGTAATAATAATAGTAGTAAAACTGATATGAGATTTTATATATATATATATAATATCATTTTTACTATTAAGAAAATATATATATGCATCTCCTGCATAAGTGTGTATATTATATTATATTTGTATATACATATTAATATATATATATTATTATTATATTAGTATTATTATATTAATATATATTAACTTATATTTCTAGAATAATAAACTTTTTTGAATTGTTCATTTGAACATTCATCTGTGACTGCTATATTAATTGTTAAAAGGCTTTTCCTGTGTCAGTTTTCTGCAACATGGTTGTTCTGTTCTATTCATTCTCAACAAAATGCAAGAATAAAACTTCCAAACCGTGTCTAAAACTGAAATTCAATCATGGCATTTTAAACTAGCTTCACCGATGTTCTGCTTCCATCTCTATGTCAATATCCAGAAGTTGGCTCTCTTGCCATCGAGACATCTGGCCCCACCCCCTAATCTCAATGTTTGGGTTTGAGTCCGGTTCTCTAGTGTTCATGTGTCCACAGAGGCTACTTCCAGCTTTGTATTCAGTCCCAAAAGCAAACACATTCCTCCCCTCTCTCTAATAACAGCAACCCGCTCTCTTGGCATCTGGTATCTTATTTTAGGAAGAAGCCAATTGTCTCCTCCGCAATTCACCAAGCAAACTAGAAGACATTTGTACCTTTTTGAATTATTATTTTCGACAGGCATCACTTTAGTTTTCAAGACATAAATTATAGCATGTTCGTCTAGTCTGGTTTTCTCTTTCTTGGCATGGCTGTCATTTGTAAGAGCCAAAAATAAGAGAGACATGCTAAAAACACTGTCCGTTTTCTACCCACCCTAAATGATGTGGCAACATTCTTTCTACTACTCTGAGTTATTTATACAGGTTATGCCTGTGTGCACAGGGTGTTTCATTTCAATGGAGCCTTGTCAGTCAAACACATTGATGTGTAAGAGAAATTGTCAGAGAATTATCTTATAAAAAGACA